GTTTTCACCAGATTTTCATCAAATATGAGATATAGCCATTTAATTTTATTCTAAAATTTTGTGTAAAGTTATAAAAAAACCGGACTACTATATCACATAGCTGCCATAGGAACGATCAAAAAATGAATACAATTAAAAATTATAACGTTTTCAGTTTTCAGCAGATTTTCATTAAATTTGAGAAATAGCCATTTTATATCAGTCTTAAATTTTGTGTCAAATTTTATGAAAATCAGACGACTATATCACATAGGTGCCATACAAACGATTGTTAGATGTGGAGCAAAAATGCAAATCTGTGAATGTAAAACTGAAAATATAATATGTGTAGGTGAATGAAATGAGAGCAGGTATTACTTCATTGTTTTTATACCCTTGCAGGGTATTATAATTTCAGTCAGAAGTTTGCAACACAGTGAAGGAGGCACCTCCGACTATATAAAGTATATATATTCTTGATCAGGATTAACAGCCGAATCGATCTAGCCATGTCCGCCTATCCGTCTGTCCGTCTGTCCGTTTGTACGCAAAATAATCTATCAGTTTTGAAGCTATCTGAATGAAACTTTGCAGTTAGTCTTCTATATACTCTCACTCGTATACATATATGTCGGAACGGGCCGGATCGGACGACTATATCATATAGGTGCCATAGGAATGATCGGAAAATTTTTACAAGAAAAAATATAACATTTTTAGTTTTCAACAGAATGTGATCAAATTTGAGATTTCATTATTTCATATTATTCTTCAATATTGTGTAAAATTTTATGAAAATTGGACGACTATATCATATAGCTCCCATAGGAACGAACGAGAAATTAATTCAATTAAATAGTGTAACATTTTCAGTTTTCAACAGATTTTCATCAAATTTGAGATATAGCTATTTTAAAAGAAATAAAAGAAATTAATACAATGAAATATTTTAACATTTTCAGTTTTCAGCAGATTTTCATCAAATTTGAGATATAGCCATTTTATATCAGTCTTAAATTTTGCGTCCAATTTTATGAATATCGAACGAATATCAAGCAGGTATTACTTAATTGTTTTTTAACATAAATATATTTATAATTTATATTGTATGGATTCCTAGTCATCGAAGTTCTATCTGCAAGGGTATATAAACTTCGGCGTGCCGAAGCTAGCTTCCTTTCTTGTTTCTATTCCTTTTTATAATCTTGCCTATTCGAGTGTTGGCGAAACCAGTGCCGCTATGGATCTGCCGTTTGCAACATTTTTCCTCCCGATTTGAGTTTTATTTTATAAAATTGCAACATATATCTATAATCACGGCTATGAAAATATTTTTCTTGAGTGTGTATTTTGCAATTATCCTTTGTTCGTCTTCAGAGCTTTCTTAAATTTTTTGTTGAGCAAGAATACTATTGCTTTGCTGATATATATATTCCTAGGTGTTTATTTTTCGCCGTTGATTGGAATCGGAGTTCGGAATTCGTACGGTTATTAAAAGGTTTTATCTTTGCTCCGTTTTCCGCCGAGATTTCGGATATATTTTTCCTTTTCCTCTATACTGAAAATTGCATTCGGCTTCCTCGATCCGAGCGACATGACTTGTGGCCGAGGTTAATTTTTGATAGAGCATCATCGTACTCTGGAGGCCAATGACGATGTCCGGCCTAGCGCTGTGGGCACCCACGAGCGCCCCAGTTCGCGGACTTGACTCGTATGAGACTCGAGTGGCTCCAGCCACCAAGGTGTGCGATCTCTGTTCCCGGGAAAGCCATCCCGTGCGCTTATGTCCACGGTTCTTTGAAATGGACGTAAGTCGCAACTCCAAAAATATTAAGAAAAAGCAGCTCTACCTGAACTGCTACGCACGAGGTCATCAGCAGCGGAAGTGCTCCAGTTCCCACATCTGCTTCACATGCCACAGCCAGCATCACACTCTTCTGCACCGCGGTAATCCTTTCGCAACCGCTCCAAGTCCGATGGCGTCGACCAGGGCCCAACACGACGCGTGCCATCTGGGGTGCAGTTTCCAAGAGCGAGCCTTAATATCGGCTGTTCAACATGGTCAAACTTTCTTACAAGACAATCAAAGTAAAGTTTCCGGCCTTAATAAGTCTGTGTCCGCTAAGTCTACCAAATCGTGCCATTTTTCCATTAGGTCGCCAGCGAGACCCGGGTTACAATAAGAAACTGCAGCTTAAGTTCTTCCGTAGCTGGTCGGCAATCTGCCCTCGTACCCGATTCCGCGGGATCTTCTCAAGGGGCTTCCCGACAACCCCCTGACAAACCCCAAGTTTTTTGAGAGCTCCCAAATCGACGTTTTGATAGAGGCTGATATTCTCCCGTCGTCCTCCTTGGCAACTTCAAGGCTAACATCTGCTGGTCGCTTCTTGGCCAGGAGACCATTTTTGGATGGGTGTTGAGAGGGCCTTTGTCTCCGGCCACTCCCCGGAGTATGTCTGTCTTCTCCACATGAGTGACATTTTGATCAGTTACTCCGGGCAAGACAGTATTCATATTGTGCTTTAAATCCCGTTACTGAGAGCAAGAGACGGAATGTCTCCGATCGATGCGTGAGCTTTATATACTTTTATATAGTTGTAAAATGGCAGAGTGCGGCAGGGGTACAGTGACGGGGTAGAGCACTCTATGAAAACTCGCTCGCCTCTTTTGCTTTCGCTCTCCGACGATCGGGTCTCTGCTGCGAACCGTCGGCGATCTCTCGCTCTGCTTGGCGGACCAAATCGGCCGGGAGCTCGGTATGTATGTATGTAGCGATTTAAAGCTGACGCTTGTTTATGCCCACATTGGAGTTTTGAGTTCTAAAAGCCGGCCTTTCTGTTGCGGTATCATAGTTGAACTTTACACGGAACGACTCGCTAATTACGACCAGCAAAATGATTAATAAAATTCAGGAAACAAGAAAAAAGGTTTCTAGTGTACATTTCATTCATAAAAAACAACCAGACCAGGATCCTCCGCAGAAATATTTTATTAACGGGAGTCGGGATTGTAGGAAAGGGGTATCTGTAAAGAACCCAGCTATGACTCGGGTGCCGATTCCCCCAACCCGAAGGGTACTTTTGAGGGCGAGTCCGACCCCGTCTGCCGGGTATCTCGTTCACAAAGGTAGAAGGAGTTTCGAACATATATCGCCACTGGAGCTGGAAGAGCCAGCCGAATGAGGAAACCGGATGCCGCCCCCAATAGGTAGGAAAAGTTACGTCTTTGGGATCTCTACGATCTCGTACCCGTTACCCGGGTGCCACTATGAAGCCCGACTCCTCGATCGGCGCCCCGAAGGTCGTTCGGTAGCCTTCCTCTGCCTCCGATCTCTTAACTCTCGAGCTTTCTCACCGTCGGCTTCCGCAAAACTTTTCAGCTTCGTGGAAGTATTTGTCTTCTACTACTGCAGTCATGTGGCTCTGCCGGTTGTGTGGTTCTGATGTGTGGCTATGCCGGTATATGGCTCTGCCGTGAGTTTGTGACTCTGCCGGTATGGTTTTGCCGTGTGTATATGGATCTACCGGTAGGGCTATGCGGAGTGTATGGGTTTACCGGTATGGCTCTGCCGTTGGGTGTATGGCTGACGCTGTAGGGTTCTGCTGCTGCAGTCGTGTGGGTCTGCCGGGTGTGTGGCTTTGTCGATGTGTGGCTCTGCCGGTATGGCTCTGCCAATGTGTAGCCGTGCCGATCTGTGGCTCTGCGGTGTGTGCGGTTGGGCGTGTGTCTGTGGAGCTGCTGGGGCGTGTATACCTGGTGGTTGGCTAAGCATGCCCAGCCAGGTAAATACCAAACTAATCTGGCTCTAGGAGCCCTATCCTAGCTATGTTACAAATTTACCATGTGTCCTTCGTAAGTCTTTGACGAATAAACTTAAAAGCAACTTCTTATCCCTAATCTCATTCTAGCTATCTTAACTCTATTAACTCGGTTCGTCAAACCTGTCTGAAAATGAAATATGTATGTTTCTTGGTAGCTCAAGCTCTTGGAGCCATTGGATAATTGGAGAAAAAATGAGACAGCCAATTAAAAAAAAGGCAAGTCAAAAATTAATAAATGTTTTTATTAATCAATTTTTAATAATGTGTTCAAAGCCCAATTGACCAATTGGGAGGAAATAGCATTTCAAACGATATTTGTCTTGGGCACTTTATAGATTGAAGTATTTTTTGACACATTATTTGGCTCCTTGTCTTTGTCTTGCTAAAAAATTAATTTTTAAAAGAAACATATGGCCAAATATAGTCCTTTCGCATTATTAAATCGATTAATACCACCGGATCAACTCCATTTTTATAAATTCACCCTCAGACCTTTATTGAGCCACCACCGTGCTTGACGGTGTGTCGCACTTTAGTTGCTGACTGGTCGGTAAAATCTCGGGTGGAATACAAGGAGCGACGATCAGACTCGAAACGATTAATTTTTGTTATGTCCGACTTACAGCATCCCAATGCGTTAACGGACCAATTTTCGTGCTGCAGGAAAGTTTCGACGCAATATTATGAGATTTTTTTTAGGAATAGAGTAATCTATCAAGACTGTGTCGAACCGTACAGGCACTTTGTATTTAGCATCTTAGCCGCTTTTGCTGAGATTATGTAGTGGTTGCTCGTCACTACGTTGGCCACGTATCGTGTGTCGCGATTTATTTAAATATAAAAAAAAATTAGAATTAAAATAAAACATTTTGCTACAAAGAGCGCAAAACATTCAACTTTTTTTCTCCTATTATCAAACTTTTAAACTTTTGGTGAACATAGAGTATAAACCAAAACAAGGCATGCGGACATTAGAACTGAAGATACACCCCTTTGAATATAGAGTCGATAACTCGTGTTACAGTTTCGCTCGTTAGTGTCGATTTATGTATAAGAAATAATTATTTAGGTATATTGTAATATTTACTATATTTCAGAAGACATAAAGATTTAAAGGAAATAAATAAGTATAGTTTATTTTGTTAATATATTTATTACAACTTTTATATAACATAACAAGTAATCGAAATCTTGCAGGAATTGAGAGAGGACATTACTTAAGAGCCATTTTATGAGAGCGAATCAGCATCTTAACTTATTACACTTCTGAGAGCAAATGTACTTAACTAATTATAAAACTTTAAAATTAACGAACTTTTCTTCTGACGATTCTACACAAAATGATTTTAATGTTTTATATCTATATGGTAATAAATTTAAAGTCATAGTAATTACAAATAAGTCTAAATAAAATAGTAGTTGAACAACAGCGAAGACAATTAAATGTAAGAAAATGATTTATAATGGTCCAAAGAGATTTACTGCTGGGTGGTTATCTGCTGTATTGCCCAAAAATTGACCATATAGTTCTTTATAACGATCTAGCGACAGCCCACCACGTTTTCGATCTTCATCCTGCAAAAGAGAAGATTAAATAATTATTCCCAACTTTAAAATTAAAGATAGAATCTTACGTTTAACAATGTTTCAAATGCTTTGTCAATAGGTGCAATATCGTCTATAGCTACCCTAGTTATGCAGTTATAACGGTATTCCTTCACGCCAACAATACCATCACTGTCTATATCCAGTAGCTTAAAGTTGGATTCAATGAAGGCTCGCATTGCCTGTAAAAAAATAGTACATTTTTATGATGAGTTTAGTCACCTATCGTGGTCAGATGGTAAAAATCAAAAGATATTTTTTTTTATTAATTACTTCAGATGCCTTTCGGCAATCTTCTATATAATTTCAATCAGAAGTTTCCAACGCAGTGAAAGAGGCACCTCCGACCATATAAAGTATTTATATTCTTGATCAGCATCAATAGCCAAGTCGATCTAGCCATGTCCGTCTGTCTTTTTGTTCGTCTGTCCGTTTCTCCGCAAACTAGTCTCTCAGAATCTTTCTGAATGAAACTTTACAGTTAGATTTCTATATACTCTCACTGGCTGCCATGGAAACGATCGGAAAATTGTTAGAAAAAATTGTTTAACTTTTTTCAATTTTCAACAGATTTGTAATTTGAGATATAGCCATTTCATATAGTTCCACAATTTTGTGTTAAATTTTATGAAAACCGGACTACTATATCATATAGCTGCCATAGGAACTATCGAGAAATTAATACTATTAAAATTATAACATTTCCTGTTTTTAACAGATTATCGTCAAATTTAATGAATTATTATATAATTTCATTTTAATTTTATGAAAATCGGACAAATTTATCATTTAGCTAGCCTACAAACGATTGTTAGAAATAGAGGAAATGCAAAACTGTGAATGTAAATATATTATGTATACGTGAATGAAATGAAAGCATTTATATTCCGGCGCAAAAATAAACAAGGAAGACACTTTTCAACACGGGAACATGCAACGTGCCACTGACCATGCGAAAAACTGGGATATTCAAGGTTAATCCCACAGAATTCGAACAACTGACCTTACTACGGTCAGTACACTCAAGTGGCCCCTATGACACTAAGCACGTGCCTGTTTGGGTTAGGTGTTAGTAGGCGCGATGGAAAATAGAAATGGAAATAGAGGATAGATACGAAGAAATTCACTACCGGCGTTTTGTCAGGTTATTTGCTTGTATGTTTACTAAGTGTGTTAGTATCTACGTTGAAGATTAGTGAGTACAAATCATTATAATTTGCACATAAGACTCTAAAAGGTTCATGCAGTTCAAAGGCTGATCTACAGTGACGCAACACTAAAGGTATATAGGACCTAGTGTTTCTACTCGGCACATGGAAATTTAGCTGACTCAACAAGTCAGAACTTTCCACATCACTATGGATTAGGTTATAAATAAAGGTTATTCCTAGCATCGTTCTACGATTGGCTAAGGACGGTAAGTTAATTAAGAGGAGTCTATTAGAATAGGTAGGTAATCATTGGCTTGCATCCCAATTTAAACCGCGTAGAGCGAAAAGTAATAAGTTCTTTTGAACCAAGAGCCATACTCCAATGAAATGACGATCTAATGAAATATATTAGGATCTAGTAACATAGGGGTCATTTGAATTCTTTCAACCACCGTTAAAAATCCAGGGCGAAATATGATCGATAAAATAAAGTTTAGGGTCCAAGCGGACGCCCAAATCCTCAACTTAATTAATTCTTTCCAAAGAGCATCAGGTCAGCGTGTAAGTTGCAAGCTTGAAAACGACTCGAGAGAAAGTCATTAGCTTGCATTTAGAGCCGCTTAAGTTTAATAAGTTTACGCTGCACCTCGATTGAAAATTTGTATTATCTGTTTGTAAGTCCGACTGGCAGGCGACGTCCTTATATTTCATACAAAGCTTGACGTCGTCAGCGTACGTAAGTACTCTAGAGTTAGTCAGAGCTTTGGGCAGGTTAATAAATAATGTAAACAATAGGGGACCCAAATGGCTTCCTTGCGGGACGCCAGAAATAACCCTGAGAACATTAGATAAGTTATCTTGAAGATGACCTTTTGCGTCCTGCCATTCAGACAACTTGAGATCCAACTGGGATCCACTGAGGTCAACTGGGAATCCCATTAGAAGAAACTATAGTCGCTATTGATCCAGTAGAAATTTACGCGCAACTGACTGCTCGATTTTAGATTTTAAGATTTTAACCGATTTTAACCGGAGATTTTAAATTTTGCACACAGCCTAGATTTTTTATTTTTTAAGGAGTCACAACCACGGAGGCTTTTTCGAGATTGGCGGATAGTTAATCGGAACACATTCAATACAAAATGTATTCATGGCATTCTAAAAATTATCCACGACGTCTGCCATGTCCTTACACATGTATAGATCGGACCAATTAAATTTTCAAATAAAATTATTCAACCGTTCAAAGTCCGTCTTTCGGAAACAGCGGAAATCTTTGGCTGGACGTTCAGATATATTCTGTAAGTCAGACCCAATGTCCAGAATCACATGGAAAGTAGGATAATAGGAATCTTCGGGTTGATTCAGAGTTAAAAAAAACATGGTTTACTTAAGACAAAGAAATGTCAAACAAGCCAGCAATAGAATCATGTTGGTTAGAGGTTAGGAGGGTATTTGTGGAATTATTTGACGACCAGGTAGCTCCAGGGATATTAAAATCACTTAGGACTACCAGCTTGTTTATATCCAAAAGTCTACTAGAAACCAACTGAAGAGCGGAAATGTGGCTCCGATTAAAAGGATGTTTCGACAATGAAGGTATTTAGCAACAGGTAATAGATATGGAGATACCATTGATAGATTGCTTCACACAAACTAATTCAACATCGCTGAAAGTAGTATAAAAACGGGATTTTCGGGACCTTTGATGTCGGCAAAAGGGGTAATAAAAATGCAATTAATGGGTTAGCTGTCAAAACATTTAATTGCTTTGAGTAATAAAAATGCAATTAATGAGGGTTAGCTGTCAACCTGTCAATGGATGGGGGTAATAAAGATGCAATTAATTAGGGTCAGTGTATGTAAAAGGACACTTGTGAACAAGTGTTCAAGCGCCCCAACAAGGATGTGGATACGAGTGCGAAAGGGAGGGGAGCGATCCCGAGCGATCCCGGAGCGCACGTGTACGTTCCCACGACCCTCACTTAAAGAAAGGGACGGGGAAGCAATTGAAAAGGTCGCACCGCAGCGATCCTGGGCCGCATCGATCCCGTTCACGCACGTGGACGTTGACCCACAATCCTCACTTAAAAAGGGACGGGGGTGGAATGGAAGAAGGGTGCTAACGGAAAAATCCACGCTCTGCTCGATCCTCGAGCACACTTGGACGTTGACCCTCAATCCTCACTTAAAAAATGGATGGGGTGGAATGGGAGAAGGGTGCTAACGGAAAATTCCACGCCCACGCTCTGCTCGATCACGTTCACGCACGTGGACGTTAACCCACGATCCTCACTTAAGAAAGGGATGGATGTGATTTTCCTTGAGAGATACTTGAAAAGGTCATTTGTTTTCCCATAGAAGGCGAGAAACACACAATTCCCTCCTTGAAAAAGGATGGGAGGAAGGGGTTTTCCCACACTCATTCCATCTGGAGTTGTTCGAATGCGTGTGATGACATATACAATTAGCTTATCTAAATAGGGGTGGTGGGTGAAAGGGATACACTTGTAACGGTTTCTCAGTGAAGGCGGAGCTGGCTTTAAAAAGGATGGAAAGGGTAAGAAAATGTCAAGTGTTTGCTGTGCATTTTCTGATTTTCGTGGGTCCGCGTATGGACTAGTTGAGTACTAAGAATCACTTCTAGTTGGCGGTTTGAACTATCCAGAGTGGAAAAATTAAATAAATTTTTAAAAGTTTATTAAAAATTTATAAAGTTTACAGAAAATTTAAAAAGTGCAAACGTGCAAAAGTGCAAAAGTGGAAAACTACAAAAGTGTAAAAGCACAGAACAGAAAAAAAAATATTAAATTAAATTAAATAAAAATCAAAAACAAAAAACAATCAACCATCAATAAAAAAACAATCAACAAAAACAATCAACAAAAACAATCATCAAAAAACAAAATCATCATCATCATCATCATCATCATCATCATCATCATCATCATCATCATTTCATCTTCATCTTCATGATCTTCATCTTCATCTTCATCTTCATCTCATCTTCATCTTCATCTTCATCTTCATCTTCATCTTCATCTTCATCTTCATCTTCATCTTCATCTTCATCTTCATCCATCTCATCACCATCATCGTCATCAAAATGTATGCCAACAACAACAACTTCAACAACATGCAAGGAATTTTCTGTAACTCCTGTCAGCAGAACCTTTCACTTAATGTGCAATGGCATCACCATGTTCGCACAGAACAACATAAATATTTTGCTACCCGACCCCTAGATGGGCAAGTAAAGCAAATTATTGATGGATATAAGGGACGTATCCTTCAATATATGTTTACGAATGAGGGAGCAGCTCTAAGGATTCCTGGTGAATTTTTGCATGAAGCGGGTCAGGCGCTGCTCCCTCATATTGAAAGAGTCCTCAGTTTCCATACAGCTTCAAAAATAAATTTTGAGCTGTTTGCGGAGTACATGTTAGTAAAAGAACATGAAACGCAAGTGGAAATTAAATCGTTCCAAAGTAAGATGATATCATCCAATTTATTTGATTTATACGAATCCCATACGGATAGTATAAAATCGAAAATGGATGAGTTCCAAGAGAAGGACAGTGGATGGACCCTAACACACATACTTAGGGTGGAGTTGAACATGCTTCAATGTGTTCCTCTCAAAGGATCGGAATATTTCGATCTACCTGCACGCCTTAAAGCCCGTAGAGCATGCGTCAATGTACAGAACAAGGATGTTTTCTGTTTTAAGTGGGCAATCATATCTGCACTAAACCCAAAGGAAAAAGGAGAGCGGTGTTGTGTGTATGATGTTGATATCAAATCAACCATCATACACACAAACAACATCAGGATCGATTTCACTGGGTTGACTTTCCCAATGAAAACGAATAAAATAAATGTATTCATCCAACAAAACCGTCACATAAGTCTAAATGTGTTTGGGTATGACGAGGATAAGGACAGTATTTTTGGACCCCTCTATACAAATGGATCTGAGAAGCAATATCACGTTAATTTATTATATCTGGATGGACCAACCACCGATATTCATGGACATTATG